GACAAATCTGAGAGGGCAGAGCAAGGAGAACCACTGCCCTTCAACAACTGAGTTTCACTCAGGAGAGAAACACAAGATGATGTAGGATTTATCGACTGTTTCTCCTAGGGATTTTTGGAAAGCTGAAACTGCTTCGGGGGAAGGAAGAGCTCCAGGTGCTCCTGAGGGACTTAGCTGGCAGAACCAGGCACATGCCAAATTCCTCCTTGTTTCTGGCTAGAAGGCCCCCTATATACACTGAACTGTCAGCAGGCAGATTCACTAAGCATGGTAAAACTTGGCTTCTGCCTGTGAACATACCCCAGACTTTGGAGGTGCTGACTCATGAAGGACTGAAAAAGTGTCCAGAAGGTGCTCTGCTAACAAGGTTGGGTATATCCTGTTTTATTAATCATCCATCTCATGGTCATCACTGCCACATTCAGGTCCTAACAAATATAATGAGCACAACAATCAATCTAAACCCCTCTGCATCTCCTGCCATTCAGATGCAATGCTTTTTTTAAGAGCAAATGGTGAACTTCTGGTACTGTGTAATTATTTTCAAGGCATTATTCTGTGGTGAGACAAGGCACACTAGAAAGCACCTGATGGTGATTTTGTCTTTAAGGACGTTCCTACAGCAGTTTTCTTGGTTGTCTGCTAAAAAAGCATCAATCCAGACTAACTGCAGAGTCCATTAAGGTCAATGTAGCTAATGAATTATGTCATTCTCGCCTCAGGATTGGGACAGACAGACCGTGACTGCTGTCATTGTAAGATTCACAGCCTCTTTTGGGTCAGTGTAAGGGTCCTGCTGCTGCAGAAGGCCCTGCTGGTGCTGATGCCATGTCACCAGGAGCCCCCAGTGCCCCCAGTGCTGTCCCCCCAGAGCCACCAGCTCTCCCAGCACCCTGCAGCCAGGAAGGTCCGTCACTAAAGCCAGGTTTTCTGCATGGCAGGACAGATGACTGAGGGCACGGCACTAAGCTGGCAGGGTGGGCTCTTTTGTAATCACTCAAACTTGGAAGTGTGAAAGGAGCAAGCTTAGAAAAATTCAGATGGTGCCTAATAGGTAACGAGAAAAAGATCCTTTGTCGCAGCTCTCATTTCTTCTTCTCATTAGCACAGCAGCGTGGCTAATTTGGCTACAGAAGTTCATTTAAGGAGGGCAGCTAATTGCTGCACGTTGTCCTTCCTCTTCCTCAGAGCACGGTAGATACAATGTCCCAGATACAAACCAGGGCACCATAACGCTTGCAGTAGTTTCTAATTACCACAGGGTGGTGGTGAAGACCTTAGTGAAAACTGTTGGTTGCTCAGCCGTGCTGAGGATCTCTTATTTGACAGACTGACCCTCCATGTTGTATCTTTGCAACAATTCCCTCAGACACAGTGTTTTCAGTCACTTCCACCAACAGGTGAATTAAGGCCACTGCCCGTAACACATTAACTCTCGTTACTCTTGGTTGTATCCTTCCCTGTTTATGATCAGCATTTGAGGAGCTGATGATACGCTCAGTTGCTTTACTTCCACTAGTCCTTAGCAGCAGTTTCAGTAGTATCAAGAAGACACACTTAAGTATCAAGTTATGGCTTCTTCAAATTTAGTTACAAATAATAAATTTAGTAGCACAATAGCTTTAGCTCATGTTTGAATGGCTAGACGGGTAGCCTGCAAACCATTAAAAGCTCCCGTTGCCATTCAATTTATTTACCTCGTTACTTCTTTTCCATAACAACCTAATATTTGTCAGGTCATGTTAACAGCGTTGTTAACTAATTTAATTTTAATTAAAAATTAAATTATTTTAATTTCTATAGCCTTTTTCTCCCTGCTTCCACTGTAAATTGCTTGATACAGAGATTAACTTTATTACATGGTTTTTTCAGCATAATAATGGTAGGAGATGGTGCTTCCTCCCTACAAACCAACCAAGCTGTCAAAGGCTAACATTTGTGTAATCTATTTGTATACTGGAACAGGCAAATCAAAGCCTTATTAATCCATTTTAACAATTGTCTTTCATGTAACAGCGGTAAAAGCCAAAGTACAGAGCACTTCAGCTCAGTTTTGGAATAAATAGAAAGATTCCAGTTTAAACCTCTGTTTTAATTATTGAACAGCTCTAAAAATTAAATCACTGACCTTTGAGAATTTAGTGACCAAACAAGTGCTTGTCCTCAAGGCACATATTTGGAGCTTGCATTCCTTCACATGAAGCTTTTATAGTCTTGTTAAAGATGCCCAAGAACAAGGCAAGTACAAAGTGAATGAGGTAAGAACAAAGATCCCATATATGCGGTGATGGTGGTGGGGATGATGATATTGATGTTGTCAGCTTGCGGAGATGAGTGGGGAGGAGAGGTATGGGGACCAAATTGCCTGTTCCTTAGGCAAGAAACACTCCCTTAGACAACTTGAAATGGAGGTTTCTGTCAGTGGACAAGGACTGTCAGACTTCTCCATGGGCTGCATCATATCTGAACAGCATCACATACAGCACTTCTTCCTTTTGCACGCCTCTGGAGTCCTTTGACTAAGGCAGCAAATGTTTATACAGCTCAGAAGTAGCAAACGTTTGATCTATTTTCAACTTTCTTTAGTGCTAACCAGCAGCAGCAAAGCTGGATTTTGCTGGTGGGTGATTAAACAGCTCTCTGTAGACCATTGTCAAAGGAATCATAAATCTCATTTCCAATAATTGTTGCAAAATGGGGAACTTTTCTGAAGACAGAACAAAAAGATTAAGGAACATCTGCCAAAATTATTGTCTTCCTCTATAAATCAAGTTAAAAGAATATTTAGATCAAATATTGCTAGCAGAGTGTAATTATTCTTATTGAGAACACACCAGTGTCTCTCTACATGGTATTTGTGTGCTTTGTTTCATACAACTGAGAGATGGTGGTGAAGAGATTAAACATAAGACATCATTTTTTTTTTAGTCAAAACTGGGTAATATTTCAAAAGGAATACTGATTTTAGTATTACATTTCATTAATGGAAGAACAAATTCAAAAGCCAATTATATAAAATTTAGTCATTCTGACTATCACTTTCACCTATATAAGTACTTAACCTATATAGCCCAAGCTTCTGTGCATCAGACATTTATGAATATTAATTGCAAATAAAACAGGCATTAATTTTGTCACTATTTAATTTTTGTTCCTCAGTCTAATCTCTTGCACTCACTAAGTGCTTTTACACTCACTTAAACCAGTTGTGTCCAGAATAAAGTATTAATGTCTTTCAGTGGGCCTATATTAAAAGGCATTATTTAGGAGGGACACTCTAATCAAAGGATAAATACAAGCAGGACTTTAAGTAGCATAGTTACATGAAGAGGGGAGAACCAGACTAAAGACTTGTTATTGCCAAAAAACCCTCTTGATCCATCTTTGCCCTCATCTCACCCTGCTCCAGCTCTGACCCCCTCTGAGGTCATTCAACTTATTAACCCAGTAGATAACTAACTCCAATTAAAAAAAAAAAAAAAAAAAGAGAGAGAGTAAAAGATGAATGCTTTGTGCTGAATTACAGGTTTGAATTGTCCTAGCTTACCTCCTGTGGCACTAGAGCCAGCTCCTGGGAGATGTCACAAGTAGGTGCAGAAAGAAATGTGGATGGAGAAGTGGGCATTAAGACCTCTGCTTCTTCTTGGTTATGAGCCATTTGACTGCCTCAATTATATTATTTTTCCCTTAAGAAGCTGATAGATAGATAAATAACGGGTTATTAAACGGCCAACACTGATAAAAGGTTGGAGATCAGAGAGAAGAAGGGTTTCCTTACAGACTCCAAATGCATAAGGTGCCATTCAGAAGTCTGTGAAATAGGAAAGAGGAACCTGTAACAGGCTTCTGCATGGCTCTGAAAGGCAGTAATGGCCATGAAATATCTCCTCTTTGGGCACTGTCCTGGCTAAAGAAGTTTGCAAAGAGATAGCTGAACAAGGAGAATGCCTGTATGTTATGTTGGCAAAACCACAGCACATAAAAACAGGACATTGTATGAATCCTTGTGTATGTATGAGAGACCTCTCAGGTCCTACCTGAATCAACCCCCAAGACTTGAAATTTTGACTGTCAATTTGGGCTTAGGACAGCAACAACATTATTATTAGCACACTTCCTTGTAGACTTGTCAGACATTGGGGTTTCATGGCTTTGGTTGGAGTAGGACAGGTCACTGGAAGTTCTTTGGTGTATAGCTGCTGCAATTATATATTCCTAGCTGTAATTGCTGGGGAAAAAAACAAACAAACAAAAAAACCAAAAAACCAAACCAAAAAAGAAACAATCAAACAAACAAAACAACAACCAAACAAAAAACCCCCATCACTTTTGCCCAAGTTGCCTTTTTATTATGATATTGAAATTTGGTTTAAGTTTGGCCGAATCCATGAAATCTGGGCTTTGTGAATGCATCCATGCTTTAAATAGAACAGTGGGAAACTCTATGGGATGCACTGAGCTGCTGTTTTCTTGTTTGGTGGCTAGATCCTGAGGACATCAAGGGTAGCTCTAAACCTCTCTAGAGCTTTTGTGACTTCCAGCTGCTCACCACCTATCTGCATCAAAATTTCCCTTTGCAGAGTCAGTTATTTCCACAAGTCATACCGCATAAGAAAATATGAAACAGAACCTGATGCTCCAAATCACAGGGAATTAAGGAATTGTATTATACAATTGTACATTTTATACTTTATATGTATGTATAATTGTAAATTGTATAATTGTATAAAGCTGAGTTAATGTTTCAAATGTATAATGATACTATGGCTGTTATTCCCATTAAATTATTATTTGAAATAGCACTCAGTAGTCCCTGGGACTGTACTTAATGCTATCTAGAGACCTATAAATAAAACAAAACAAAACAATAGACATGGTGAAAACCCATTTCCTTGTTTTTCTCCCTCCCTGACCCTGCATCCCCTTTGAAGGTAGACTTAAGGAGATGTACTTTTGCTTTCTTAACTCTTTCAGCCAAAATCACATAACCTCTCTAAAGAATGAAAAGCTGGATTATACTGCTGGCTGTTGTAGTCAGCACAGCAGAAACACAAAGCCAGGACGTCTGTACCCAAGGGTACCCTGGCATCCCTGGCAATCCTGGGCACAACGGCATACCTGGGCGTGACGGACGGGACGGTTCAAAAGGCGACAAGGGAGATCCAGGTACTATGTTCAGAATAAATGATTTCATGTATCAAATGCAATGCCAGCAGTTCCCAAAGGTGTCTGTAGTCGCTCTGCGTTAACAGGGTCATTCTGCCTAGCCTTCAGAAAACATTTCAGACATTGGTCCTTTACTTGTTTGAAGAAGGAAGTAAAAAGAAAGACCTAATAATGAAAGCAAGGTAGCTAATACTATGGAGAGGTCAGGTCCATGGGATAACAACAAAAGAAGAAAGACTTTACCTTGTATTTTGGGAATATTTTTATGTCTGATTGACAATTTTAAAGCCTGTAGACCTACTCCTACATCTCTAAGACAGCAACTATATTTCTGTAAAGAGCTTCAAGCCCAGTTACAGAAAACCTCAACAACTGATACCTTGTTTGGTGTAATAAGAAGTGCACAGTGGTAAGAAGATTTCTCTTTCTTACCCAAATTTTACATTTGTAGGGCTTGCTTGTGAGTGTGCCTACTTGCTGTAACTAAAGAGCCACTAGGAGGAAGTTCAGGAATGGAGACTATTAAAAAGCAGGGTAGGATTCATGTCTGCTCTAACAAGCTATAATAGAGATTTGTGTGTGATACTGGAGACAGAGGTAATCTCCTCAGCATCCTAAAGCTAATAATTCCCATAGTACTTTAAGCCTCAGGATAATGACGAACCTTACATCCAAGCTGTAATATCAAGGCCAGGGTTGCACAGGATGATAAATCTGTGGGCACATGGATATGTAACACTTTATCTGAAGTGTCACAACCCCAGATTGCCAAGTACGGGACAAGTGCAAATCTGATGTTTCAAATTTGTTCACAAAATTTGGGAGGGTACTTTTCCCCAACAGGCTTCAATAGGTCAGCTATTGTGTGGCATCATGCAGGTGGCATTATGGCTTAATTCATAAATCTGTCACAGATAATCTTATTGTGGGCCTGGCTAACTCAGCTGCACAAATCAGTCCAGATCAAACTTGTACTTATCAGATAAGCCCTTCTACTGAGTGCTGATCTTATGGATTGCGAATCACAGCTCTTTTCAGTGGAGCATATAGTCGAGTACATAAACCAAACTGAGGTCAACAGTCTAAAAGAAATTTACATAAAATGTGCTAAAGTGTTTTACTACATCTTTCAAGTGGAAATGTCTGCCTTTAACAGACTGGGTTGCTAAGCTAATGAATCACCTGCTCCACCAGAGAAGTATATGCCTCTGCAGGGTATGCTGCAGAATCAGTGCTGAAGGTGTAGTTTGATGTGTGGTGCTTTGATGGCTGTGCTGGCAAAGGCAGGATCCTCTACCAGATCCTTTTCCTGCTACTTGACTCTTCTCTCTTATACCCCACAACTGTTTGTGTGGCCATACAGTGAACTAGATCAGCTGAAAAATAACCAGCATTTATCATTTGGGCAATGAAGAGACTCACTGCTACGGCCTGCACTGGACCACTGAAAGACAAGTTACACATTTACCTCAGTGATTGCTAAAGAGTTATTTTGAACTCTCTTGTTTATAAAATGAATGAGAGTTCCCTCTCAAGCAACCACATCTGTGCTCCTTCTGCTTTCAGTGCCCTGGCCTGAAAACAAAACCTTTTAAAATCTAGGAACAAACAAATGAAAAATCCATTAGCTTCTTAATAGGCACATACAGTTAACTGCCTTCTTTTTCTATATGCAGGGGTCCAGTAAAGTCTGACAAACGGAAAATCTAAATGGAAAATCTATTTTCATTTATCTTATAAAGGTCCTCAATTTACTCCAGTGAGTTATCACATGATTATCACTGGTTTCTGATAAAGTCCCCATCTAAATTTTCCTAAATTAAGCTATTATGATGACTGTACTGACTATTCTTTGTTAGAACAAATTGGGATGACTGTACCATTCTTTATATTGTATGTTTATATTGTATGTACATACACCTTTGCAGTTAAATACATGAGACTTAGTTTTGTTCCTTACCAAGTCAATGAATCTTCAGCTGGTGCTGGACTATACCCATCAAGAGGAGCGATAGGATGAGGGGTAATGGTTTTAAACAGAAAGAGGGTGGATTTAGGTTAGATATTAGGAAGAAATTCTTTACTGTGAAGGCTGTGAGGCACGGGAACACGTTGCCCAGAGAAGTTATGGATCCTGGGGCAGTGTTCAAGGCCAGGCTTGATGGGGCTTTGACCAACCTGCTGTAGTTGGAGGTGTCCCTGCCCATGGCAGGGGGGTTGGAACTTGACAATCTTTAAGGTCTCTTATAACCTCAACCATTCTATAATTGAAGAGGAAGGATTAGAGAAGGATTCATCCCATGTTTTCTGGTAATTTAATTGTTTAATGAAAATATGTTTTTCTTTTCTGTACTAGGTGAAGCAGGACTTCCTGGCAGTCCAGGAAAAGATGGCGCAAATGGAGAGAAAGGGGAACGAGGTCAGAGAAGCGTTCCAATTTATTATTTTCCTGTGAAACCTGCTCTAGGTGGACCTGCTTTGGCGGGGGGTTGGACTAGATGATCTCCAGAGGTCCCTTTCAACCCCATATCATTCTGTGATTATTTGTCTATCAACTGCCGCGTTTGTGTTTATGAGCACTGGACGTGCTATACATTCTAGCTGTAGTGGAAGTACCAAAAAGGTTAAAAAACCTTTTTCCAGAAGTAGTAGAGGCTGCACACATATGTGCTGAGAATACAAGTGGAATTTGCCACATCCAATCACCCTGCTGCCTCTAATGCCCTACAGCTTGTTCCCTCAGCCTTTCATCCTACCTTTTCCATTCCTGATCCTTTTATCAGCTGCTGAGGAAGACACCACATCTGCAGCTACCTCAGGGAAGTGAGGTTCCTGTAGCTATGTATCCAACTTCTCAAAAGAAATTGTAGAGGACACAAGTTATACACCTAAAAATACAGCAGAACCCGTATACTTCACCTGTTTAGCCAACCTGTATATAAGCAGCACGTCTCCTGTGTCAGATGGATGTGTCAGATGCGCAGAGTGACTTGTTTATAAAAGCAGGGAGTCAGCCATTGTGCAAGTGGCATCACATCATTCTGCACAACTTCAGTGACTCTGAGATGCTGGACTTGTGCATCCTCGTACACACACAATACCCATATCCAAAAGCATGGAGGCCTGCCAGAAACTGTGTCCAGGTTCTCCAAAAGCCTGAAGTTGACGGTGAGAAATAACATTGCATGGGAGTAATTACAAGCTGCTCTACAACCCTCAGACTTTTTTCCAGTCTATTAGATGACTGGAAGGACTGTGAGACGAGGCCACAAATGTTGCATAAAATTACGAAAACCACCTTCTTATCCTGTGTCCTTGTCCTGATGGACCCACGTTGCTTTTCGCAGAGGCTCACCATACAATCTCACCTGCTTTCTGTTCATTGCTACTGGTAAATATTCCCAATTGTAAATTTAGAACAGTAAACTGTAAATACAGCATTATTCCTAACATCAGAGGCTCTTATGCAGAAATTATCAGCTTCTTTTCCTGATTGACAGGGTACATGATCATTATGGTATTTTTTTTCTATCAACTGGTAAGATGCCCTCCATGTCATGAGACTTTCACCTTCAAACCCTTATGCGGCAATCAGAGGATTTTCAAAGGCTTTGAGCTTCAGTCCAAGAGTGGATGAAGGATAAATGCAGTGTGTGGTAGCAAATAACAAGGACAAAAAGACTTCAATTTCACTACAGTAGCAATCTAGGTAACCCAAGCAAAGTTCCATCATGTAGAAATTACAGAAACACATGACAGACAGGCAAGTTCTGGGTGTTGTCCAAACAGAAACTTCCTCCAATTGAATTGTGAACCTTCTCCCCATTTTGTATCCCAAAGGCTGAAAACAAGTGTCTGGAGAGATGCTGCTTGTGCCTGAGATGATGTGAACTGTCAGTGCTACCATCGGCCTGCAGACAAATCTCACCTTCCTTTCTTAGAGTTTATTCTTGCTGTTCTCAGCCAGGGCACCCATTTTCTAACACAACAGCAGGTTCTTCAGATGTTACAACTTACCATGGACTTAAATGTATGAGAAATTGTATGTACAGTGAGCACTCTATATACACTGGTGACACACACTTACACATATATGTCTTTATGCTGAAACTCATGTTGTGCCCCACTAATCCAGTGGAAGATCACAAGAAAGTGTCCTTTTTTTTCTCTTTCTTTCTTTTCTCCCACTTAGGAGCCAATGGGACTGTCGAAGAGAAGGGGAACAAAGGAGATAAAGGAGAAAGAGGGCGACCTGGGAAACTGGGACCAAAAGGAATTATAGGGTCAGTGGGTCACAAAGGTCAGAAGGGAGAGCTGGGACTGCAAGGACAAAAGGGATTAAAAGGAGACATTGGGCCCATAGGTCCAAAAGGGACAAAGGGTGAAATTGGCCATCCTGGGAGAGTTGGTTTCCCAGGGCCAATTGGCCCGACTGGTAATCCAGGTCCTAAAGGTAATACTGGAGATCTGGGGCCACCGGGTAATCCAGGAGTTCAGGGGGAAAGAGGCCTGAAAGGAGACAGAGGAGAAAAGGGGAACGTCGGTGCCCCAGGAGTCCTGCCAAGGAGTGCTTTCAGTGTCGGCCTTACAATCGCCACCAAATTTCCCACCCCAAATCGCCCAATCAAGTTTGACAAGGTGCTGTATAATGCTCTAAATGACTACAACCCAGCTACTGGAAAATTCACCTGCAAATACCCTGGCGCTTACTATTTCACCTACCACATCACTGTCTACTCAAGGAACGTCAGAGTAGCTCTAGTTAAAAATGGCATCAAGATGTTGCACACAGTGGACAGGTACCAGAGCGGAGAGGATCAGGCCTCGGGAGCCACCATCCTGGAGCTACAGAGAGGAGATGAGGTGTGGCTGCAGGCTCACCAAGGAGAGACTTTCAACGGGCTGTTTGCAGACGCCGATGACGACACCACCTTCACTGGGTTTCTCCTGTTCAGCACTTCTGACCTGTTGGAGCCGCTGCCAACACCTCCCATGTAACTCCACATTATCTGTGGATGCTGTATGTCTGTATCCTTCAGCCCTCCCCAGTAAAGTTGCAATCTGCTGGCCAATTTCTACTGGATTCAACAGAGAACAGAAACCATCCAGGGAGGTGCACCAAGGGCTGAAAAGGAGACGTAGGACTGCAGGGCATGTTAGGACAAGTTGGGCATCTCCCTACAAGCTGAGTAATTTTTTTTTTTGACTGCTGAAGTCATCATAGTGGGAAGATGTAGGATCACACTACTTGTGTTTGCAGGAAACCAGGCCTCATGATGCTCACAACAGCTCATTGCACAGCTTATTGTGCTGAAGTTTTCATGACCAGCTGCTAAAACAGAGCAAAGGGCTTCAGAGCTACATCTGGAAGAGTTTGAATTAAACACCTTCTTGTCCCAGTCACAAGATATCACAAGTACCAAGTGTGTATTCATTAAGCTGTTCTAATCTACTGTTGTCAGCTTTGTCTTTTAAAAATCAAAATTAAAAAAAAAAATTCCCAATGTGCATAAACTGTTTTTAAGGCTGCAGTTGCAATACAGTTGGTTTCAGGAACAGCTTCTGCACAAGAAAGGACAACTCTGTAGGGGCTGACCTGCTGGAGAGTGGCTGTGCGGAGAGGTACCTGGGAGTCCTGGTGAACAACAGGATGATCATGAGCCAGCAATGTGCCTTTGTGGCCAAGAAGGTCAATGGCATCCTGGAGTGTATTAAGAGGAGTGTGGTCAGAAGGTTGAAGGAGGTCATCCTCCCCCTCTACCCTGCCCTGGTGAGGCCCCATCTGTCCAGTTCTGGGCTCCCCAGTTCAAGAAGGACAGGCAACTGCTGGAGAAGGTACAGCAAAGGGCTACAAAGATGATTAGGGGCCTAGAACTTCTCTCTTATGAGAAAAGGCTGAGGGACTTGGGTCTTTTTAGTCCGGAGAAGACTGAGGGGGGATCTGATGCACGCCTATAAATACTTAAAGGATGGGTGTCAAAAGGAAGGGGCCAGTCTTTTTCACTGGTGCCCAGTGACAGGACAAGAGGTAATGGGCACAAACCTGAACATGGGAAGTTCCATCTACGCATGAGAAGGAACATCTTTACTTTGAGGGTGGCAGGGCATTGGAACAGGTTGCCCAGAGAGGTGGTGGAGTCTCCGTCTCTGGAGACATTCAAAACCTACGTGGACACATTCCTGTGCAACCAGAGGTCCCTTCCAAACCCATATCATTCTGTGATTCTGTGAACTCTTAAGTGTCTACTGTGATGGGCTTGACACATCAGTGTTTTGGTGAATTACTGTAATTATACAGGGGTGCGTACACCCTTTCTGAAGGACAAATGTTTTAGAAGAAAGTGCGTTTTTAGAAGAAAGAAATAAAAGATAAAATTTCCAGTTCTGGAACTATGATGTGGGTCCCTGCCATCTTGTGTAAACATTAAGCAGCAGTTACTCCCAAGTCACTTTATATCTTTCTAGGTGGCACGCGTAGATGGACTTGAAACTTTGTTAGTTTGCATCAAAATAATTTTTAAACTTGGAATTAGTGTAGTTCAAAGCCTCCACAGGGGCTGCTTGCTCTGTGGCACAGATGAAATTTGTTGCACCTGGGTGGATTTTACAGCTTTTAAATATGGTTCTTTGCTCCCTGTGTAGCTGGAGGTCTCAAATAAGAACAAAATGGAGTGACAGGAGGAAGTGCCACGGGGATTTTCTGATGTGGGCAGATAGTCAATGCCAGTGCAAAAATACAGTATAATGCTGCTGTACTTGAGAATTAGCAGTGAAAAACAAATTCTCCCAAATAAAAGATCATCTTAATCAACACGGAAGCAGACATACTGGAGAACTGATCAGGAGGTATTTCCTGTGCCATAAAACTTTAATTTCTGTGCATTGTTGCTTTTTTCCCTTTCCCCCTAAACCTCAAAAATATAACACAAGGCGCTGGTAAGTCTCACTCCCTCCCCTTAAAAGAAAATAAAGCAGAGATGCCAAGGGACATGGGTCATCACCATGAAATTCAGTGCAAATGGAGGATGAGTTCCAGCCTCCCATCGCCCCCGACGCTGCCAGGGAGGCCAGGAAATGTGGGGATGTCCTCACCGGTGTTGAACCCCGAGTATGGACCACAGACCCAAAACGAACACAGGTTTCAGAGGAAAAAGGGCTGCCCTCCTCATGTCACCTGAACCGCAGTGAGGGTGGGCTGAGGCGAGGGCTACGTGAATATTTCTCCAAGAGGAGATTTTTTCCCCATAAGCCATTCAGTTTATTTCGTGGGAACTTTTAAATGCTTTAAGATGGGCCTAGGTTCAACTGGAAAACGTGTAGGAGAGGTTTCCCTCCGTGGAGGCCCTTCCCCTCACCGCTGCCCCGCCGCCCGCTAGGCCCCGCCGGCCCGCCTCACCGCCCGGCCTGTGCGCCGGGCCCCTCCCTTCCCGCCCCCTAGC